TAATAGCGCCTTTACGGTAATCGCTGTACAAGAGTAAAATAATGCATGTTTTTTTCTGCTTTATTTGCAATACAAGTCATTTGTACCATAAGTTCTTAATAAAACTGACACTGTTTGACTCAGTCCTAGTTTGACTGCTACAATAAAATGAAGTAGGCTATACTTTTACTGTGTACTTTTTGGGTAATACTCTCTCAAAGTCCCTGAGAACAAACTCATGCCACTTCTGCTATATTTGATGAGATAAAATGATTTGTATCCATAAGTTCTTAATAAAATTGGTACTCAGTACTCTTAGACTACTACCACAAATACAATGAAGTGGCCTACTTTTATTGTGGTACTGTTGGACTCAGTACTTCTTAGACTACTACCACAAATACAATGAAGTGGCCTACTTTTATTGTGTACTTGTTGAGTAATACTCTGTCAAACTCCCTTCCAGAGTACAATCATGCATGTTTTTAGCTATCTTTGATGAGAGATAAAATGGTATTTTGCCATAAGTTCTTAATACAATTGGGACTGTTGGACTCAGTACTACTTGGACTACTCCCACAAGTACAATAAAGTATTTTTACTGTGTACTTCTTGAGTAATCCTTTGTCAAACTCCCCTCCTGAGTACAATCATTCATGTATTCTGCTATATTTGATGAGAGATAAAATGATTTTTTGCAACAAGTTCTACATGAAATGTATACTGTTGGAGTCAGTACTACTTGGACTACTACCACAAGTACAATCAAGTACTTTTACTGTGTACTTTTTGAGTAATACTAGGTCAAACTCCTGACCTGAGTACATTCTTTCATGTATTCTGCTATCTTTGATAAGAGATAATATCTATATTTCAGGTATTTATTTAAATAAGAAGTGACCTTTGAATAAATATTGCAAAACAAAGCCTATATCACCTGCAGGCTTAGCCAGTGTGTATTTCTTCCTAATTTCTCCAAACATATACAAATGCCTGTATTGGAGTCAAAAAGGTGCAGTAGAAGGACTTTAGCAGCATCATGAGAGGCCAACAAGAGTGACAGGGTGTGTCACTGTGCTGAAGGAAGGTTGTGACCAGCTATCCAGGATAGTCTCTAAAGACTTTCCAAGGGGTAACAATGCTGCTGCTGGAGTACTGATCTAGTGGATCTAGTGTTGATGTCATCTGTCTACCTTATCCTCTTAAAATACTCTGTCTAACATTATCTGTGCATTACATTACATTACATTACATGTCATTTGTTAGACACTTTTATCCAAAGCGACTTACATACATTCAGTACTGTGGACAATCCCCACAGGAGCAATTTGGGGTGAAGTGTCCTCCCCTGATTCGAAGTCCAGCACACTATCCACTGAGCCACAGCCTCCCAGTATTGTGAACGCTTATTAAATATAGCAGAAAACATGCATTATTCTACTCAGGAGGGGAGTTTGACAGGGGATCACTCAAACACTTGATTGTACTTGTGGGAGTAGTCCAAGTAGTACTGACTCCAACAGTATCAATTTCATGTAGAACTTGTTGCAAAAAATCATTTTATCTCTCATCAAATATAGCAGAATACATGAATGATTGTACTCAGGAGGGGAGTTTGACAAAGGATTACTCAAGAAGTACACAGTAAAAATACTTTATTGTACTTGTGGGAGTAGTCCAAGTAGTACTGAGTCCAACAGTCCCAATTGTATTAAGAACTTATGGCAAAATACCATTTTATCTCTCATCAAAGATAGCTAAAAACATGCATGATTGTACTCTGGAAGGGAGTTTGACAGAGTATTACTCAACAAGTACACAATAAAAGTAGGCCTACTTCATTGTATTTGTGGTAGTAGTCTAAGAAGTACTGAGTCCAACAGTACCAATTTTATTAAGAACTTATGGATACAAATCATTTTATCTCATCAAATATAGCAGAAGTGGCATGAGTTTGTTCTCAGGGACTTTGAGAGAGTATTACCCAAAAAGTACACAGTAAAAGTATAGCCTACTTCATTTTATTGTAGCAGTCAAACTAGGACTGAGTCAAACAGTGTCAGTTTTATTAAGAACTTATGGTACAAATGACTTGTATTGCAAATAAAGCAGAAAAAAACATGCATTATTTGACTCTTGTACAGCGATTACCGTAAAGGCGCTATTAATTGCGCACTCAAAAATGAATAGCTGCTGATTTGACCAAGCGAACGCGAGAGACGGCTGAGTTGACCGCAGTTATGCAACAGCAACCGAAGCTGAACTGACTATCTTGACTACTTGTTGCTATCCTATTGTGGCATAAGCCGTTTTCTACAGGCACGTTTTACCTTTTCATTATGATTCTACGTGATAGTCGGACATGACAACCTGTGCAGCCCATGTATTGATTCCATCTGATAGCTGCTATAATACAAAACAAAACTTCTGCCTGCTCTCCACAATGATCAATGACAGCGAACGGATGGTCAAAGTAAGGTACAAATAAACAGAATCACACGAAGCCTGGTTAGTGTTGCCTGACTTTATAAAGAGTGTTTGTTTATAAGTGTGTGGTTGCCTTCTAGTCACTTTGCTCAGCGCTACTGCTTGTTACAACTTTCATTTTCCGTACTCGCCATAAACTGTTATTATGGCTCAGGTTCATCTCGCCCCCGTCCGACGTGAGCGTGGTTCTTGGTTCTTGCCGGGCAGCCAAGTGGGGTCAGCTAAGAACCGGTGTTCGGTGTTTAGAGCCGGCTCCGCTGCGGCTGAAACAGGAAGAACCAGAGCTAAATCAGGCTGAGTGTGAAACAAGAGCTATTGAGTCAGCGTTGCGGTGCTGTTGCTTTGGTCTGGATCTGTGAGCTAACCACGCCCCGTTCATTTGCATATAAGAAATGGAAACGTGTCATTATGAAATACAAGTCCCCTGAAATAAATAAATGTGTCATTATGAAATAAAAGTCTCTTGAAATAAATAAATGTGTCGATATGAAATACAAGTCCCATGAAATAAATAAATGTGTCATTATGAAATAAAAGTCTCTTGAAATAAATAAATGTGTCGATATGAAATACAAGTCCCATGAAATAAATAAATGTGTATTTAAATGTACATGTATACATATTTATTGCTTCATTTATTTATTTCAGAATTTATTTCATAGGCATATTGATATATATATGTATTTATTTAATTATTTATGTATTTATTTAATTTTGGCTTGAATGGCATTCCATACTTATGTGCCTTTCAACAAATGTAATGACATCGATCAACAGAATAATACTTAATAATCAAACTACTCTTTATTAGTCACATTAATCATTTAATAATCCATTTTCTCTCTGCTGGTAAAGTAACGTGTTTCTCTTCTATTTGAAGAGGGATCAGTAAGGTAATGCTACCGTGACGGTTTGATTCAGAAGGAGTTTAATGTATAAGATCCCTGATGTTGAGGTGACCAGAATGTTTATTTCCACTGTGTACAGCATGTTATAAGGGACCCACAATCTATCTTTATGCAAGAGATAATGTGCAGCGAGGCGTCTCTATGGGGAAAAGAACACCTGAATCTAGATCCCTCTGCAGGTGGTACTTTAACTATATTTTGATGCTAATACGTTTCTACTTTTACTTGAGTAACATTTTGAATGCAGGACTTTTTATTGTAACCGGTATTCCTACACTCTGGTACTTTTACTCAAGTACAAGATCTGAACTTCTCCCACCTCTGACAATAAATCCTGAGTGGTTACCAAAAAAAAACCCTGCTCTGAAGGTTATTTTCATTTTACAAATCCTGCACTCAGCTTTGCTTTCTCCAATATCATTGAAATGCAGCCAGAAGCTGCTTCTTTTTTCGGTTTTCGCACATTTCTTGACTTTTTTCCGACGCGCTTGCATTTAAATCTGTCTCCCCGTCGCTCTGTGTAGCTGGCCTGTACCACTACACCTGCTGTCTTTGGAGCGTCTGCCCCCCACCCTTCTTTCACATAATGGTATGATCCTAGTGTGTTCTCGCATATGATTGGCCGCATGGTGGCTCAGCAAAATAAAGTCCCGCCCCTCCCTGCATGGATTTTCAGCAAGAGTAGGAGCGGCTGTGTTGGAGACCCCTGAATTAAAGTATCAAGTCACCTCAAGTCAGAAGGCTCAAGTCCAGAGTCATTGGTGTTCAAGTCCAAGTCGAGTCGCAAGTGTTTTGTGATTTTATCAAGTCGAGTCCAAAGTCATCAAATTGGTGACTCGAGTCTGACTCGAGTCCAAGTCATGTGACTCGAGTCCACACCTCTGCCGTCTTGTGGATAGGCCTTTCGAGGTAGACAGGTTTAGCGATGCGCTTTCCCTTTCCATCCAGGGTAGAGTCGCTGATAAGCAGCTTGAGCCTTCTCACTCTTCCATCCCCTCCTGGGTACACTTCCACAACCCTGGCCAGCTTCCATTGGCCACGGGGTATAGTGTTGTCTTGCAGAATGACAACGTCATTTACCATGACGTTTCTGCGGTCCTTGATCCACTTTGGTCTTGTCATGCAGAGCAGCACATGTACTTACCTTGTCTTGATTAATGGATAATAAAAAGTGGAGTTCCATACTGAACACACCGCCTCTGACTCCCTTTCATCGGCTCTACAAGTACCGTTAAAACCTTAACGATACCCATCCCTATGCATTAGAGTAACAAACTTAAACATTTTAAGTGAATCCGTCATCTATTTTCAAAACATAACCAATTAGTTTCGTTGCGTATGTGTTTAGTTTTGTCTCAATGAACAAGTTAACCACACTTTTGAGTGTGCTGTAAGAAGTCTTGACAATCACAAAAACATATTTAGGGGTCAACAAACTGAGTTTCTGTGTGGGCCTGGGGCTGTGGGACATCTGAGAGGAGGGGCATTCATGTGTCCTGTGATGTTCTTGTTGTGATGAGCATGTTGTTGTGTTTGTGTGAAGGTGGAGGCTCTGCTATGAACCCATGTTATTTCAGATGTAAGATTATATAATATTTTCTGTTGGTATCTTTTGGATCTCTGCAGGGAGAAAAGATGGCGACACTGAAAAAGATCCTCTTCAGAACTTTAGAAGATTTGGGGAAAGAGGACTTTGAAGAATTCAAGTGGCACCTTCAGCAGAAGGTCCTAGGATTTGAAGGAATCCCAAAGAGTCGACTAGAGGATGCATGTCGGACGCAAACTGTGGACATCATGTTTCAGAACTACGGCATTGACACTATTAAAGTGACCAGAAACATTTTGAAGGATATGAATCAGAATCTTCTGGAGGAGAAATTATCAAAAATCCCATCAGAACCGACAGGTAGGTCATTAGTTATTAAGGAGTGTTACAAACAGGGAACCTGAGGTCAGGTAAATCACAATGATAACATGGATTGGATGTGTCCTCCTGATATACCACACAGAGAAACACCACCTGTACATGGTGTCAGGGTTTAGGTTCCCCCATGGCCCTGAAAGCTCAGTGGTCAGGGTCAATAGTTTGAATTGCATAGAGTAACAAACTTAAACATTTTAAGCGAATCCATGATCTTTTTTCTAAACATAACCAAGTAGTTTTGTTGCCTATGTGTTTAGTTTTGTCTCAATGAACAACGTTAACCACATGTTTAAAACTGAGACATGTGGTGACTTCTGGGTGTGCTGTAAGAAGTCTTGATAATCACAAAAACATATTTAGGGGTCAACAAACTGAGTTTCTGTGTGGGCCTGGGGCTGTGGACATCTGAGAGGAGGGGCACTAATGTGTCCTGTGATGTTTTTGTTGTGATGAGCATGTTGTTGTGTTTGTGTGAAGGTGGAGGCTCTGCTATGGATCAGTGTGAGGACAGAGAGGAGGGAGCCCCCCCCTCTCTGTGTGGGGAACATGACAGCCAGACCAAAGCTCAGAGGTGAGATCTCCAACTGTCCATGACTCTTCTCCATGTCACAGCTCAGCACTCATTATTCACTCAAAGCTCTGTGTTGTGTTCCAGACCAGAGGACACACCACATTCTGCTGGACCTGGACCTGGACCTGGACCTGGACCTGGACCTGGACCTGGACCTGGACCTGGACCTGGACCTGGACCTGAAGCTGAAGCTGGACCTGAAGCTGGACCTGAACCTGGACCTGAACCTGGACCTGAACCTGGACCTGAACCTGGACCTGGATCTGGAGTAATAATTGCCTTAAAATAAGCAGTATTGTTGCTGAAAAACAAAGTATTTTTTGCATAAACCCATGTTATTTCAGATGTAAGATTATGTAATATTTTCTCTCGGTATCTTTTGGATCTCTGCAGGGAGAAAACATGGCGACACTGAAAAAGAAGGAGACAGGTAAGTCATTCGTTAAAAAATAGTTTTACAAACCCAGAGTTTTCCCTGAAGTTAGCTCACTAAGCCAAAATCCGGCTTCGTAGTACATGCCTCAGGTCCTCATCCTGCAGCCAGGCATCAGGGTCTACACACCACTGAGTCTAAGGGTCCTACTATCCTTTCAGAAATGTGTAAAGTTAGGAACAAATATTGTGATGGATCTTTTATGTTAATTGTAGTATTGTCTCAATTGTGATTCAATGTTTTGTTCATTCAGAGATTCTCACTCAGTGCCAAAGGACGTTCAAATTAAACCTGAAGAAAAAAATTGAGAAAATCATAGAAACGGGTAATTCAAGACCTCTAAATGAAATCTACACGGAGATCTACATCACCATGGGAGAAACTGCAGCTGAAGAGCATGAGGTCAGACAGATTGAAACAGCATCCAGGAAACCAGACAGACCAGAAACAACCATCAGACAAGAAGACCTCTTTAAAGCCTCACCTGGAAGAGATGCACCAATCAGAGTGATGACAAAGGGCGTGGCTGGCATCGGGAAAACAGTCTTAACACAGAAGTTCACTCTGGACTGGGCTGAAGGCAAAGCCAACCAGGACATCCAGTTCACATTTCCATTACCTTTCAGAGATCTGAATAGGCTGAAGAAAAATTACAGCTTGGTGGAACTTGTTCATCACTTCTTCTCTGAAACCAGAGACGCAGGAATCTGCAGGTTTGATCAGTTCTCGGTTGTGTTCATCTTCGACGGTCTGGATGAGTGGCGACTTCCTCTAGACTTCCACAACACTGACATCCTGACTGATGTCACAGAGTCCACCTCAGTGGATGTGCTGCTGACAAACCTCATCAGGGGGAAGCTGCTTCCCTCCGCTCGCATCTGGATAACCACACGACCTGCAGCAGCCAATCAGATCCCTGAGTGTGTGGACATGGTGACAGAGGTCAGAGGGTTCACTGACCCACAGAAGGAGGAGTACTTCAGGAAGAGATTCAGAGATCAGGAGCAGGCCGGCACCATCATCTCCCACATCAAGACCTCACGAAGCCTCCACATCATGTGCCACATCCCAGTCTTCTGCTGGATCTCTGCTTCAGTTCTGGAGAAAGTGTTGAAAACCAGAGAGGGGGGAAAGCTGCCCAAGACCCTGACTAAGATGTACATCCACTTCCTGGTGATTCAGTCCAAAGTGAAGAACGTCAAGTATGATGGAAAAAGTAAGAGAGATCACCACTGGAGTCCAGAGACCAGGAAGATGATCAAGGCTCTGGGAAAACTGGCCTTTGAGCAGCTGCAGAAAGGCAACCTGATCTTCTATGAGTCCGACCTGGCAGAGTGTGACATCGATATCAGAGCAGCCTCATTGTACTCAGGAGTGTTCACAGAGGTCTTTAGAGAGGAGAGTGGACTGTACGAGGACACGGTGTTCTGCTTCGTCCATCTGAGCGTTCAGGAGTTTCTGGCTGCTCTTCATGTCCATCTGACCTTCATCAACTCTGGAGTCAACCTGCTGGCAGAAGAACCAACAACCTCCTGCCTGCCTAAAGTGTTCAGAGACAAGCCTCAACTTATACATCTCTACCGGAGTGCTGTGGACCAGGCCTTACAGAGTCCAAACGGACACCTGGACTTGTTCCTTCGCTTCCTCCTGGGTCTTTCAATGCAGACCAATCAGAAACTCCTACATGGCCTGCTGACAGAAACAGGAAGTAGCTCAGAGATCAACCAGAAAACAGTTGAGTACATCAAGAAGAAGATAAGAAAGAACCCGTCCCCGGAGAGAAGCATCAACCTGTTCCACTGTCTGAATGAACTGAATGATAGTTCTCTAGAGGAGCAGATCCAACAGTACCTGAGTTCAGGAAGTCTCTCCACAGATAAACTGTCTCCTGCTCAGTGGTCAGCTCTGGTCTTCATCTTACTGTCATCAGGAAAAGATCTGGAAGAGTTTGACCTGAAGAAATACTCTGCTTCAGAGAAGGCTCTTCAGAGGCTGCTGCCAGTGGTCAAAGCCTCCAGGAAAGCTCTGTAAGTGGAGATACAAACAACATTGATCAGTTTTAAAAATGATAAATAAAATAAATTGTGTTCATTGCTAATCCTTCCCCAGGCTGAGTGGCTGTAAGCTGTCAGAGAGAAGCTGTGAAGCTCTGTCCTCAGTCCTCAGCTCCCAGTCCTCTAGTCTGAGAGAGCTGGACCTGAGTAACAACGACCTGCAGGATTCAGGAGTGAAGCTGCTGTCTGCTGGACTGAAGAGTCCACACTGTGAACTGGAGACTCTCAGGTCAGTAATCAGCTGATATCTAAAGTACCCAACCTGGTCTCACCAGAATGCGTGACTCCACCACGACTCCTTAACACCGCAGTGCGTGGTGGAGTCACGAACTTTGTTACATTTACGTGTCTGCACCACGCAAACAACGCCAATGTAAAGTGAATGAGGCTCCTTTGTCGTGGTGCACACACGCATTTCTACAACGTCCAGCAGTGAGCTTTTATTCTATAAAACGTTTTTAAAATCTACTTTATAGCTTGTAGTAACTCACAGGAGGCTTCTTTTATTTTATTTGTATTCATAATAATTTTTATTTTTCGTCAGAATGTATTATGGTGCATTATTCACCAATGTTTGTTCTCAAAAAACAGTGCATTGTGTGTAATACAACTGTGATTTGTATTAAATTAGTTCGTTTTTAAGGAAGGCCAGAGCTTCAGCTGTGTCAAAGAGATTGTTCCCTTTAGTTAACGTTATTTAAAATATAATTATATTCCTATTTGATTAAGTCCCCTTTATTGTATTACGGACCCAAAGAGCTGAGCGTCCATTCCCATTGGATAACAGAGCATTTTACACCCGGAAGTAAGTATTCTCCTTACTGTCCATTGATTTTATTTACAGTGATATCTGCACTACTCATCAACTCAAAAACACCAGATTATCTTGTTAATTACACAACATTGATTGGTTTAAATTGTGTACAATGCTTTTGTATTTTCCCCTTTCGATTCGGAGAAACAAATATGTTTTCGGAGTGTGTGGATGGTAGAAGACACTACACTACCCAGAATCCTCAGCTATTGTTCCGCTTTGCCTCAAGCTCTGTGATTGGCTGACCTCCAACTGCATTCCAATGAAAAAAACGTTTGGTAAAAGATCAAATCATACTTTATTCAGCAGTGCTTGCTTTACTCTTTGAAAGTCATCACATGAATGCATTGTAATGAATGGTTTGGCTGCATTAAACATTACACATCTGTCGTAGTTCTTTATTTATCTACAGAGATCGGGCCTCAGAATAGACCGGAAACTATTCTTTTACCGTTCTGTTTTAATTTCACAATAAAGTTAGTAGTAATAATTTGTTTTGATATTATTGTTTTTTATTAACTACTAGACCGCTGGGTCATGTTAAGACCATCTGTTCTGTGTTGCTGTGGGTTTTTTACATCGCTTTTGTGTTACAAATATCAAAACAATAACAGAATATATCCGTCGTAAACTAAACCAGAAACAGCAGTATATTTTATTTTGTTAACACTGTAAACTTGACAGCTTTTTAACCCGCACCTCCTACTGGTTAAAGCACGGTATTACACGTTTAGAGTATTGCAATGCAGGTAGATTGGGTTGCTTTTTAATGACTGTTTTAAAATGCCTTTTTCTTAATGTCTTTCATTTTTGTAAAGCACTTTTGAATGTGTTATATTTGATGAAAACATTTCAATATTAAGAGTACATACTCTTAATATAGTGGGAAAGTGGAAGGTCAATGATATAAATAATATAGAATAGAAAATATCAAGAAGATACTGTAAGTGATCTCTACAATAAAACAGTTTAGTGCCTGATAGGAGGATGTGCAAAACAGACAAACTTATAAGGCTTTATTTAAACATTAAAGAATACTTTAGGTTAAGGTCGTCTTTTAAATAAGAAAAAAGCTTTGGGGGTATCTACAGATATTAAGCCTGACAAAGTACTTAACGTCTAATATATTGCATGGTTTGTTTTGGAACTTGACAATCAACTTTCCTTCAATGTTAACTATGTTGAAGCACTTATTTTAACTGATATTATACATATTAATTATACTCTTATAAGATGTATGTAGATAGTATAAGAAATGTGCAGAATATGTTTAATGGTGGAGGTACACAGATATCGATAGATGTCTTGTGATGCACTGTTGATGAACCTGTGACCCAAGTGTTTCATTCATTGCATAACTACACCGTAGTTGTGTATATGATATGTCAATAAACCTTAGAAAATCTTGAAATCTTGAAAGGGATGTGCAAAATAGCCATTATATACAGTTTTTAATGAACTATTAGTAGAGAATAACGAGTAATGAATATGCTTTAGGGATCTGCAGATACATATTTAATCTTCTCAAGCACCCACTACCAAATATCTCGCCTGATTGTTGGCTGAATTCACTGAATTTTACTCCGGTGTAACTAAAGTCTGATTTAAGGGTTGTTTATATTTCACATCATTAATCCAAATCTGTAAAGTAACTAAAATAAATGTAGTGGAGTAAAAATACCAAGTTAACCTTAAAGAAAGCCCTCAGGATTATCAAAGACCCCCATCACCCCAGCCACAAACTGTTCTGTCTGCTGCCGTCTGGCAGGCGGTACCGCAGCATCCGGACTAAAACCACCAGACTCAGGGACAGTTTCATCCCACAGGCCATAAGACTATTAAACACCTGAACTTAGAAACAACATCCATAACATTCATCTGGCAGCTACTTAGAAATGATTTATCTAATATATCATATTCCAATCACTTGTATATAGACTCTTATTGCACTATTTCACTTTTTACTATTTTACTATTTTTCTTTTTGTATTTACTGCACTATTTGTTCTGTGTAGCCTATCTGTTTTATTGTGTTGCACTGTTGGAGGAGCCTGTGACCTAAGGGGGGGGGGGGGGGGGGGTAGGACACGTTCTAAGCACATGGTGTAGTCCTATAGCTGAGGATTCTGGGTAGTGTAGTGCCTTCTGCCATCCACACACTACGAACAAATATTTGTTTCTCCGAATCGAAAGGGGAAAATACAAAAGCATTGCACACAATTTAAACCAATCAATGTTGTGTAATTAACAAGGATAATCTGGTGTTTTTGAGTTGATGAGTAGTGCAGATATCACTGTAAATAAAATCAATGGACAGTAAGGAGAATACTTACTTCCGGGTGTAAAATGCTCTGTTATCCAATGGGAATGGACGCTCAGCTCTTTGGGTCCGTAATACAATAAAGGGGACTTAATCAAATAGGAATATAATTATCTTTTAAATAACGTTAACTAAAGGGAACAATCTCTTTGACACAGCTGAAGCTCTGGCCTTCCTTAAAAACTAACTCATTTAATACAAATCACAGTTGTATTACACACAATGCACTGTTTTTTGAGAACAAACATTGGTGAATAATGCACCATAATACATTCTGACGAAAAATAAAAATTATTATGAATACAAATAAAATAAAAGAAGCCTCCCGTGAGTTACTACAAGCTATAAAGTAGATTTTAAAAACGTGTTATAGAATAAAAGCTCACTGCGGGACGTTGTAGAAATGCGTGTGTGCACCACGACAAAGGAGCCTCATTCACTTTACATTGGGGTTGTTTGCGTGGTGCAGACACGTACATGTAGCAAAGTTCGTGACTCCACCACGCAATGCGGTGTTAAGGAGTCGTGGTGGAGTCACGCATTCTGGTGAGACCAGGTTGAAAGTACCAGCACATGTTTGCAGTCATTCCTCCTGTCCAGTTTTATCAAAGCAGAATAATCGTGACTTTTAAAAGGTTCTTTGTGGTTTTGGTTGTTTAGTTTTTTGTCATCAAACCATAAACAAAAAAATAGAGGTATTAATTATACTAAATTTAGGATCAATGATGTTGATCATCTACATAGCAATTAAGGCAGAACAATTCACAAACATGCAGAAGAAAATCAAAATTGAGATTAGACAATTGAAAATATTGCAGTAAATCACCTTAACCTGTTAAGCCCGGCAGCCCCTGCCCCCGCTTTCTTTTCTTTTTTTTCCACGAAACTGTGTCTCAGGGCTTCTTAACATTTAACAACCTATTAATGTTTCAAACCCACTTAACGGGAAGAAACTCAGCTAACTGACGATACGAAAGACTTTTACCGAAACAAAACACAAGTCTCACAAGAAGCGTCTAAATGAGCCCTGAGCGAAAAAATGCTGACGCACTTAGCACAGAACTCATGGTAGAAATACTTTATTACTTATCGGATCTGCACAAACAAGATATTAGCTAGCAAGCTGAGATTCCACAGATTATAGGGGTATAAGTATCATCACTGAGCGATCAAAACCCGCGGCAGGGGAAGCAAACCCAGACATCACATGAGTCTTACCGTTGCTGTGTTTCTGAACAAAAGTTGTGTTCAATGGCATTAAAACGATAAAAACGCTGCTGAAGGTTTTTTTTAATGATTTATTTTTGAGATTTTCAATACACAAAGACAGCAGCAATACATTACATTAACCCTGCGATCGCTAACAAAACAACCCCAAGAAACAATACATCAGTTACAATGAGACAATAATGTAATAATCAGGGTTCGTACGGGTGCTGGAAATCCTTGAAAATGCTTGAAATTGTACGAGGTGTTTTCAAGGTTTGAAAAGTGCTTGAATTTTGGGAATGGTGCTTGAATTTGGGATAAAGTGCTTGAAATTGTAAATGCTTTACTTCGATTTTTAGATTAAAAGAAAATAAAGAAGTCGGAGTGCGCTTAATTGCTTCGCTTTTACATAAAACAGCTCCGCCCCGGCCTTCCCGCGCAATGCGCGTGACCGGCAAGTATTTTTGTTACGTGTGACCTGGGCATTCTGATGAGAGTGATAGATGACAGTATGCCAGGAGGTTGCCGTTTCAACGAGCGTTGGCTAGCAGCAGACAAATACAAGCCATGGCTAAGACGAGGGTCAAGCCCACGAGTAGCCTCCTGCAAAGTTTGCAACAATAACGATGGGAGAGTCTGCGCTGACGAGCCACATGAAAGGTACGCCGTAGTAGAGCATTTTAGATTAGGCTAACGTTGCATGTTACGTTTGTTTAAGCTAACGTTAGCGAGCTGAATAGCGAACTCGATGAGAGATAATAATAATTGCAGGCGACAATCATTTCAGAGGAGCGTACCTATGTTATGTGCGTTACAGTCGCCATCCTGTGGTGTTCAGAGGATGAAGCACTCACCGTTGTAATTCAACCCAGTCTCACGGCATTTC